AAAGCTCTGTGAGTAAGTAACAGAGAGGACAAATATGTCCTAAACTGAGAAATAATTTGAGTTGTCAAATATACAAATACAAACTAAAATGCTATATTAAGAGTATTTAGTCAGTGTATCACTAAAGTGACTAAATGCACTAATTTTCAGTTACGTCCCTGTTCCAAGTCCTTCTAAGTAATCCTTCTCAGTCAGTTGTGTAACTCTTTGGGTTGGTCAGGAATTTAACCTTTAAAGGAATTTAACATTTGGAGAATGAAAAATCTGGAGAATGAAAAAATGAAATGAAAAAATGAAAAAAGAATGAAAAAATTTGGAGAAAAAAAATCACACATTCTTGTGTGATTTTTGAGTAGACTGATACCTACTTAGGCAATAAAAAGCAACCTGGAACACTAACCTTAGCACATATACAAGAAATAAGGCAAAAATAACCGCAATGAAGGCTGAAGGAATTATAGAAACCACTGATATCATAGTCTATGAAACATAAAGTACTATTACTATAGATTTAAACAGTTACTTAGTAGTCTATCATAGGTAACACTTTGCCCACAAGCTATGTTGATTCTTCTCTGAATCTTTAGTTATTGTTTTAATTCTTTTATTGTCCTATTATTGTTTTTTATTGTTATTATTGTATTACATTGTTGCTTTTTAATACCATTTTATATTGTTAAGCACTTTGTGCAGCATCGGCTGTTTGAAATGTGCTATTTAAATAAATTTGACCTTGACCTTGACCTTGAACAATGATAAAAAATCGACCCAACGCTCAAAGCTAACTGCTGACCTCTAACTTTGCATACTTCCCCAAAATCAGCATTTTTATTTGATTGTGTTTCAGACTGAACAGCTACTAAATATTGACACCAAAAAAATCCTTCACACCAAATGAACTCCATTCAGAATAATCACAGCTAGTCACCCACTTTTTCAACAAGTCATTACCGTCTTGATTGGCTAATTTTAGCATCTCCCTGTTTGATGGTGGAGGTCATTTTGAATATTGTTGTACTATTACTGGGAAGTTAAGGCTTTGACACTTGGTATGTGGTGATTGATTGACAGCTGTGATTGACACTTGCTATCCCTCCTGCGCTCCTTGTAGCTTAATCATCTAACATTTGCTCACGTGTGAATTCATCTTTGTTTGCATTACTGTAAGTTTTTACTTTTTTTTTTACTTTAGTCTCGCTGCTTCCAATTTGGGACGTTAGCTGAAAAAGTTAAAGTTGGTACAGTCTAAAAACTGCAAATCAGTGTAATCAATTGGTGGGACATGAATACATGAACCTATATAGAGAGTCTGTGGAGGAAACAGCAAGTGGTGTCTATTTTTTCCTATACTAACTGTATAGGCATGATATTGGCATCCTTAACATTGGCTTTCTTAATGCTTGTTTCTATGATAATTCCAAGTCTGTCAATCCAAAAATCACTCCAGATAACTCTTTGAGTGCTTTGTGCATCACCCTGTAACTCGAATATAAATTTGAACAAGTGGGCACCTCCATCTGCTGATCAAGATTATGTGATAACGGTGAAAGCCCCCGAATAGCTATTGTGTCAACATTGTTCTGTCAGGAGCGGGACTGTCGTACTTTCACTGGAAACAGACAGTTATTGCCCATTTTTGTATTCATATTTCACAGGGACTTCAGACAAGAAAATCAAGATGAATAGGTAGGTGTGTGACAAAAATGTAACACAGGCAACCTTGAGACTGATTTGGAGCAAAGCTGAATGGTTTCTCCTTTGCTATTGTGAATGTTTCTGTAAAACACTTTAATGAACACTCAGCCAATAGGATTGTTTATCTATCAAGTAATTTTGTTAAAGTTCTGCAGTGTCTCAGAAGATATTCAATTGTTTTCAAATGCAGGGTAATAATAATAGTCTGCAGAACTGCAGGCTAATAATTTCCTCAGTAGATGTACTCAGGCATGCAAAATTGGTGGAATATTTCCCACAGTGCATCCAAATAATATCATTTCACTGCTTATGTATTTACCCACCTTACATTTACTTTGTAGGCATTTGTCTCTAAATTCAGAAATCATCAGGGTTTTCGCTTTCAAACTTTGAAAAGCTCCCTGCTGAGTCACTGAAGATATTATGCAACTATTTTCACAAAGTGAGCAGCAGTAATATTATGATCAATGACCCGTGTGTGTAAAATTGGTGGTGCGTCCCTTTAGATCATCAATATGATGTTAATGTAGTTATTAAACCTTTTCACCGACAGACCATACTAAAAATTACTCTGTAAAAACAGAAATATAGCACACACGTTTTGGTAGGTGGTTAATTGTGCAAGAACGCAACACTTTTAAGTCCATTTAATTCACCTTTTTGGCAGCTAAGACAGGCTATGTACATGACAGGTGAAAACTAGAATACTTTGTGCCTGCAATTACTAAATAATATGCAAGGCCTAATATGTGGAGGGCAGTGTTATTAGACTGTTTGACTTGTTTATGTTCTCCACATCTGATTTGGAAATTTTTAGGATATATTTTGACAGTTTCACTTTACTTGAAGACTTTGAAGAAAAGAAATGCTCACTAATGGCTGTAAGAGTCTAGTAGGAGTCAAATTGGGATTTCCTACTCAGGGTATTTAGGTATGGGGTAACAGCTGTATGTGGGAATGAATTTAATGCAAATGAGAGAAAAGAGGTTTCACTTGATGACAGTGAGCTATACACTTAATGAGACAGTCAAATATGTTGACATAGCTGCTAATTCACTGAAAGAAACTACAGGGTTTAATGTTTTTTAGGCATTATTCCTAGAGAGAAAAGTTACATAAACTATAAAAAGAAACACTATGCACTATCATGTCTTTCTTACATTTCCATAATATTTATTAGATTAAATATCTTTTGAATAGTGGATATCCTGCCAACCCTCATTTTGTATGTGTGCTGGAAAACGAAAGGTCAAGGACTAAAACTATTTCTGTCTCCGACACAAAATTTGACAAAACGAGATCAAATCTTACCTATATTGTGCGGTATTTTGCCATATGGTCCCCTGGAAATATCTCAAGGCCACACATTCACACTCAAAGTGCAAGGTGGAGAATTAGCCTGGACAAAATAAAAGAGAAGTATGTAAGAAGCCTGAAATGAAAAGGTCACCAAAGTTCAATTGCAATATACTTCTGCTAAGGACTATTTTAATTAGGAAGAACACATGCGGTGACGAATCACACTTCACATCGTACATGTCAGATATATGTCTGTGCGAAAATAACTTTGTGTTGTGTGGTCTGAAATAAGGCCATCTGAAGTCCATCGCAAACAATACAGGTGTTATCATGCATACTTGCTGTGAACCAATCATGCCACTAAGCTGAGAAACCTTTTACAATTCAGGGAGCGCTATTATGATTTATAAGGAATTATCTGCTTCTCAAACAAAAGCCTATAAAATCTTCTTAAAGCACAGTGTAGGAGGGAGGGAGATTAGATTGGTTTATGGAAAATTATTGAAATAGAGCACAGCAGGGTGTTTGTGCAGGGCTGCAGCTCCCGAGTGACATTATAATCTCTGCAATGACTTAATGCACATTATTTGTCTCTTTTCTTTCATTTTTTGCGACCAGTTGTCCCTACAAGCTGTTTGCCTTTCTAAACACACAGTCTGGAAGCTGTGCTATGTCTTTGCCGTCTGTGGGAGTAAGAGTGTGGGTGTGTTTGAATGCGTGTCTATGAATCTGTTTGGGCACAGATTCATGTATGTGCTGCATTACAGACTTAATGCAGGATATCATGCATGACCAATTTTTTGTTCTTACATGCATTATATGCCCTTTACAGTGAACAATATAGTCTCTAAGAGTGTGCTTTGAAAACATGGTCTTGCTGTAAGTGATGTTCAGAAAATTAATGACTCTTCTCCACTTATCCTTTAGAGAGTATCACTTCTCTCTTACTTTTTAAGAAGTAAGTCAAATCAGTCAATTGAAGTCCAGAGGCAGAAAAATCCCCACAGTCCTCAGGGCATCAGCACCCCGTTCGAAG